TGATTCGATTCGCGTTCGTTCACCGTCGGATGTGTCGGCGGAGAGGAGGCACCGGCGAAGTCTTGTGCAAACTGTCTAACCCTAAATTTGTTTTCCGGTGCAGGAATTAGTTGGTCCGCGGTGGTTTCCTCAAAAACTACGGTTCGTCGAATTTTTTTTCCCGGTGAGTTTTTCGAAGGAATTTTACAGGCATATTTGGTAGACTACTAAAAGATAAGTCTATTTCACTTATGTTATGGTCAGGTAGAGTTGTTTGTTGTGACTCTTATAGATAGCATTGTGATAGAGTTGTTTGTGTGTCGTTTCAGGTTTAGATATAATTGTTTGTTTTGTTGACATGTAAAATTGTAATGGTTGTTTGATAGACTTGTTTTGTTGAGTGGTAGACTTGTTATTGGTATTAGGTAGACTTGTTATTAGTGTATGGTAGACTTGTTTTGTTGACTTGTAGAAATGTAATGGTTGTTTGGTAGACTTGTTTGTTGAATATAACCGTAGTTTATAGTAGACTTGTTATTGTGTCGAGTGGTAGACTTGTTATTGGTGTGAGGTAGACTTGTTATTGGTAGACTTGTTTTTGACGAATGTGGTAGTCTTGTTTTGTATTGTTATTGTTGTTGTTTTTTGTTGACGTCGTATTGGTGTTGTTTTGTATTGGTGTTGTTTTTGTTGATTGGTAACCTTGTTCTTTTTTTTTTTCTTCTTAGATGGCTTCAGCTAGTGATTCGAAAGAATATCCCCCAAGATTGCATCAGCCTGGAAAATCTCCCTTACAAGAGCACAGCTTTAACTATGGCTGTCACCTGACTGATTTCGGCAAGTTGAGGGAGAACATTGGCGATGATATATTTAATGATGTAATGAACAGATGTGCAATTGGATCAATTTTAAAGCTTGCAACTAGGGGATATGTTTGGAGTTCACACATGGTTCATCAGTTCATAGCCAACCAATTGGCCGTGGACAGGCAGTACGAGGTTTGGTCTTTGATTGGTGGTAGACCGTTGAGGTTTTCGTTGCACGAGTTCGCAGAAATTACGCGGTTCAACTGTGATCCAATTGTCGAAGATGGTTGGGACATTGATCACACTGAGTTTTGGGCTGAGATGGGTGTCAAAACCTTCGACGGTCCTAATTGGAATGAGTTGGATCGTGTCATAGATCGCTGTCAGACATGGAGTGAAGCGAAGAAGAAAATGGTTGCAAAGCTCCTTCTCCTGCATGTCGGAATATTTGGCCTCAACCGGAATAGTCGAGTGCCGTTGAAGTGCGCAAAACGAGTGTTGGATGAAGATGCTTTTGAGAGTTATCCGTGGGGGCGTCATGCTTTTAAGCATTTAGTAGAATCTATTAAAGTTGCGTGTTTAGATGGAGACACTT